AGAACTCCTTGATTTTGTCCATGAACCTTTAAGAATACACCAAGGAAAGCCATGAATGTTAGTATTTGAATGTTTGACACGTGGGCACTTACAGATGTCGCATGACTGCAGAGCTCATTCTTTTGTCTTTTTTTGGATTCACTTATATTTTGAAAAATGATTCGTGTCTATTACCTGGCTTTCGCCTTATTACTTTGCGTGATTAAACGCAATGCAGATCCAGCATAGATGCTTTGCTTAGCCGAGTTGAGTTGGAAAATTCAAATAACATACAAAAAGAGAGTCGTCAGTCAAAATGTAGGGTGTATTTTTTCCTCCAACTGCCAATGCTCGCCGTTTATTTTTAGTGGTACATTCCCTGTGAAGTGCATCATTAGGTGTTTTTCTGCATAATTACGGCCTATTTTAGCCACAGGGATGGTTAACTTTTTTCCTCATTATTCATATTTTTAGATGTTCTTTATTTATTTTTAATGTGCTTTGCCATGGTCTGATATGTTTCGTTAAAGAGCAGCATCGCATTCGCACACATTGGAACTAGAAATCGCTATGGCATGCATAAACAATAAGTTATGCCCAAAGAGAGAACGTACTCTGCGTTTGGACTTGATGCCCTCAATTTGAGCCCTGGTAACCTCGCCCAGACCTCGGTCCGACCACAACTTCACCGTAATGGGGATGTAAGTGGCGAAGAGAATTGTGAGTGGAACAATGTACATGAGGATGAAGAGGGCGACATCATAGCTAACCAAGGTAAACAAAATTTGGCAGAAAAATGTATGAGAGGAGAGACTAGGCGAGGGCATAATGAAGCTACCAACTCATGCATAGCTAAGTCCAATTTCCTGTCTATGGCTTTACCGCTGATTGAATGCATGGGGGACTTTAGGCTGCCGCAACCTGTCAGTTGACCTCGGTTTAATCAATGGGATTTCTCTACAAGGCACCAAAATTCAACTCAGGGTGCAAAAAAGCCTTTGTTACCGTAAATATGCACGTCAATTAGCTCCCATAGTTTGTGTAACATGGCGCTTTTCATCCATACGAAGTAGCCGACGTAACCGTAGTCATTCCGGTGCTTGTAAGTAAGAATTATTTTGGCTGGCACTTTTGAGGTTGGAAATAAAACCCCACTTAAAACTCCTCCTGTGTAAAAGTGCTTGAGGAAAAAATGTGACGTGAAACGCAAGCGTTGCAGCGAAGTTTGAACATTCTTCCCATGCAAACCTTCAATTTACCTACAACTTTGGAAATAAACTTGTCACTATTCTTGCCTACTTAATAAAGCCCTATCTGAAAGTTAAGGCATATTGAAACATTTTGTTGTCAAAACTTTTGAGATGCATCTCCTTGTTTTTGGCATTAAAATGAGGTCGCTTTCTGCACTAAACCTACGTCTGTTTGACTGCTAAGTGCGTTTTCTTCAATCTCTCCAATTACGCAACTTCAGTTTTGCCGTTTTGACGAAACAGAA